ACTATTCGGCTATATTCCACTCTTCGATGCCGCTTCCGTTGAATTTGGTTTAGAAGCCATAGTTTGTATTGAAATCGAATGTGGAATGTAGGATGAAAGCTGGCTCTCGAACGACGAGTGGTTCGTCGATGTCGCTCGAGTGAAAGGAGGTCTTTCGATCTTCTGAGCGGTACACACATGGTTTCTGATTTGGCAATATTGAAGAGTGGGGGAGATCGTTCGATGTGAGACTCTCGATGGAGGCGAGTTTCGTGCGAGACTCCTTGGCTCATGGCTTCTTCATGAACAGTTCGAAAAGTTCTATTTTGTCACAGTGCTCTACGTGTCCAGCAGCGATTATAGGCAAAAAAGTAACAATATAGAAAATGTGGTAACAACGCTTCAATATCAGGCAAACTGCAGTGATTAGATAAACATTCGTATGTTATCACGTAGATTTTCTAGCTGTCTGACCTACTGTAGTTGCTTTATAATCTACATCGTCGCAGCATGTTCCTGCAGAACATAGTACATATAACATTTGGAACCAGATTGGTCCCCGCCAACCCTGGGGACCTTCCTTTCCTGCGTCTGCTTTGCGTCTTCCGCTTACACGGTAGAGGGCATCGCCATAATCATGACATGACCGTGGAATGACATATCAATACCTAACTGCATCTTAGGCCTGTTGGTGATCAGTTTTTAGCCTCCCCTCCCCATCCTATGCTCCTCCCTCCACTGCCCTCCAGCTGCCACTGCAGCACCATGTGGAATGAACGGAAGTGTGCTAAGCAGGTGTTTATATAGCCCTAAGAGTGTTATCACAACTATCCTGCTACAAAACATTGATATCTCAAATCCTGTAAGCTACCCGATTTGTTAGCGGTTTGTTTATCCCATGAGCTTCCTTCTCACTCACTTCATTTTGCGGACGGACACACATACATACACACACATACATACAAACCGACACACCAAGTTAGCGCTTTATAAAATAGAAGGATAATTTCGTGAATTAAAAATATCAGATGAGGATTCTACGCTCTGACGTATGTGACGATTGTGGGGTCGGGATTTTAACAACTGCACAGATTTTTTGCTCAAACCGAAACAAACCTGTATCACAAAAACCGCAGGTTTTCGGGCAGTCCTCTTCTAAGAATCTTCTTCCAGGCATTATTTTCACACATTACCTTCGTAACTGACGAGCATGGTATCCTTGGCTCTGCAAGGTTTTACTTTAGAATGAAATAGCCATTAAACAGTTGATAGCATGACGAGTAGAAACGTAGCATTTATGATAGTCAGCTGAGACAGATGTAACTCACGCAGCTTGTCATTGCACGAAAAGGCAGGTGTGAGACAACAGTAGCCACACGTTTTGGGACAAAGATCAACCGCCGCTTGAACCAATTGAGGATCCTGAAAGAGGAGAGCTGGTGTTTTGTCGCACTTGTATCTCAATTGTACCAGTCAGAAGCGGGGTTGAATTCTAGCTTTCAGTGAAAGCGTTAGCGAAGCGATATGGATTCAGCTATGGCAATTTCGAACGGTCGTCACAACAAGGTTTCACCACCTACTTAAGCAGTTCGAATTCAAATGACAGTCAATCCGAAGAACTAGAGGTCACTTGCAGATGCTCTATTAGTAGAGGCATTCACGGAAATGTGAAAGCATCTCCAGGGTGGGCAAAGTTATTGGTGCATCAATTTTCGTTCGCATTCAGTGACTGATTTCTAAATCGTCTATCCATGAATATTATGAGTAGAAAAGATTTGGCGATCCAAAAATTTTTAACAGCTTCCGAAAGTCACATCGTCGTCGTCACACACACAGCGCTTCAGACTTTTATTGAACGCGTCGCATGCAGCACACAGGCTTTTACCAACGTTTTTCGTCCCAAGATTTTAAACGTGCCGTCAAGAGAGGATTCAAATTTAGGTATCTGGTACAATAGCATTTCTCTACAAATTGAAATTGAAGGAAAAAAAAGAAAATTTAATTGAATTTATATATAGGTATGGAGGACTAGAGAGACATTCGTTTGAAACAGGTCAAGTTGGGGTATGCTCGGCGCACTGTTCCTGGGCCACTCGCAGTCTGTGTTTTGAAGCAATTTCGATGCTTATTTCGTCTGGTGAACCTATCCACAGTGAAAAACGCTTATGCTCTCAGGCAAAGGCGAATTCAGAGACTGCTTGAAAAACGTTTAAAAATTTGAGAAATAGACGAAAACGTGTTTATATAGCGTTCTCTTGTACGGTTGCATTTCCAAAAGCTAGATGTCCAACCACTTCATAATCAGTGTGTACTAGTAGCTTAGTGCTAGTAGTTTCAAACAGCATATCATGAGAAATTAGAACAAAAATGTCCGCAATAAGAGTACTAGAAGCTTGAAAACATATAGGCGCACCAGTAAGTTTGCTGCACCCTGTAATTCAATAACACCAATGTCTACCGCACTCTAAGGAAGCAATTTCGGTGGCGACAGTGGGATGGGTGAAAGCACAATTCCTAAGTAACAGTGCACTCTTTTCTTGATATGCACTCCTTTTAGAAGCCGCCCTGAACCACTCATTTTACTAGGTTTGTCGAAGAGCAGTCTATCAATTATCGGTATCTAGAAATATGTATGATAGTTCTGACAACTACATCTCAGCCGGACATTCTCGGTAGAACATGAAGCACTTCTGTGACTTGGGTACTGAACATGGATACTATTTGACCAACAAAATCAATCGGAAGTATTATATTCCATGACAGTCCCTGCGAAGGTGATATCACGGGCGAGAGGGAGCTAAAGGAGCTAAGTCTTGTGATTGGACCAACACCAAGCCTTGCTTCATGCAGAAGCCCTGCACAAAAATGGGTTCTTGAATATTTGTGGATATCAACTTCTTGGTTTTCAAGATGTGATCGAGTGATAGAACCCACTCAATGGTTCCTCAAGATCAGAAAAACCAAACGTTAAGCGCACAACCGCTAAAGAAAAGCAGCTGTACGCGGTTTGAGACTATATGGAAAATCACGTACTATCGCTTGATCTCCACCGCATTTCGGATCTCGATCCACAGCTGCCCCTGCGGCCGCTGATGGGTTTTTGGGGTATAAGATGGCGCAATTGGCGGTCGACAATTTATCCTCACAGTTTACCGCCGAGTCAGCGTACTGAAAAGATGAAATTTCAGTCCCAACCAAAGGAATCGCCTCAACTATCTATACTCTATAAAATAATAGTAAACATAAAGTTTCTCATCAAAAATCAGTCACAAATACCCAATTGACGAGCGAGTTCATCTCATAAAACAGAGAAATATTGATTCCATGCATGCGCTCCGTTCCAAATTGCATTATTGCTCTTGTATTTTTTGTCGAGCCCCGGATATGCCTTCATCACGAAAACAGAAAACTGGTGAAGAATAAATGTTAATGCGGTACCCTCTGTGACTCACTGTAGCAAATTTTGTCTATAATCATTATTATGCCCGAGATTCTCTACTGAAAAGCGCGTTCTCAAATGGTTCGTTAGGTTGTTTGAGAATTCTCAAGAAGTTGAGTCCAGAGCGCTAGGATGATCTTCGCAATTTTTGTTTGTTAAATATGCTCTTTGACGAATTTGCGGTGACCTACCTTAAGGGCACCACCATCATATATTGTACAGTTAAGATCCACAGCTCCTGCCCATACGTTTCTTATGAGCATCACTGAAGACAGTAGAGCGAAAAGCATGGTTTGTCTGAAAAAATTTCCAATAAATTATGCAGATAAGAGAAAACAGGAAAGCTGCAGCACAGGGTGATAAGTGTACGGACAATGGAGCTTTTATGCCGTTTTCCTACCACTCACTCCAATACATCTGACAAGTTCCCCAGCTGAGCACATTGTAAACCATAGAAGAGATATCGCCACCGCGTCATCATTTTTGTCGTTGGCCCTGAAACCTCATCCGCCCACATTGTTTCATTCCTGGCAACATTGCCATTATTTCGATTGCCTGTCGGCGTAGACATAAGGACGCACTTCTGTCTACAGTGCTTTTCAAAAAAACCCAAGGAAAATGGAACGAAAAATCTGGTGAGGGAACTGATTTAGAAGAACATATTGCGAACGAAGTTCGCATTACGACTCCATTGAGAATGCCTTTTGTTCGGCTTTGAAAGATGTGTTCGAGTATTTTGTAAGTGAGCAACCGCAACATACTTGGAATGCGGAAGTTCGATTAAAGTAACATAAGAATGTTTAGAATCTTGGCATTTTAGTGGCAACTTTCCTAGTTGCCCTGAGCTTTACTAGGGTCAAAGTTGAATAATTCAGTGTCGGACTCTTCTGCATGTACGCAGGTGACATAGATACATTGCGCACAAATAATACA